GGGGGGAAAGAAAGCCCCGTTCGTAAGCTGCTCCGGTGCACCTGGTCTGCTGGAGACTGTCTCCAGCAGACCAGGGGCACTGGGCGGGTTCCCGCGCTTCTGAGGCTTTGCCAGAGCAAAGCCTCAGAGGCGCGGGAACCCACCTGGTGCCCCTGGTCTGCTGGAGACGGTCTCCAGCAGACCAGGGGCACCGGAGCAGCTTATGAACGGGGCTCTCTCGCCCCGGAGCTCACAGGTAGCAATCCGCTACCTCAACCTCCGGGGCGAGAAAGCCCCGTTCGTAAGTGCGGATCCGACGTAAGTCGGGGACTGCCTGTATTGTGGCTCCTATTCCCTCCCATGCACTATACACACCATGTGCCTTTCTTCTGTCAGGGAGAGCTCATTCTCTGGGACATCAAGTTAATCTCAGGAGGGAGCTTCTCACTTATGGAATATTCCTAAGGAAAGGGCTGCTCTCATAAAACTAAACCGAACACCTGCCATGTTGGGAGCACAATTAGATGTATGTTTTCCAATTATTTTATATCAACTGTACATAGTAAACCCAGTATTTTTATGCATTTCATTTGAGCACCATAGAAAAAGGAAAGGTCACAATATTCCGAAGAAGCCTAAGGTGGGTTGAAGATGGTAGTATTTCTGCTCACTCTCACTTAGCATGGATGTGTTTTTGCTTTCAGGTCTCAGTCTGTGGTGGAACCTGGCACGATGAAACATGAGGAACTGGGTGAGAGCGAGAACACCCAACTTCTACTGGCTCTAGACTGAGTTCTGCATTACCAACTCTCACAAACGTATTGCCAAACTTCAACAGCATCAGAAACCTGCAAAGCACACAGCACGCTTTAAACAAACACACACACTCTTTTTGCTTGAAAACAGGACCTCCATTTTTCCAGACCAAGTAACAATTGTCACAAGCCCCCTGTCTGTTCAGCCAAAGCTACACAGAGATTTCTTTTGGTGAAGGATGCTAACTCAGATATCGTAAGGAGTCTAGTTGTAAAAAACAAATTATTCATTTATTTATTTTCTTTTTAGTTTTGCAACATTAAAATGACTGAAAAGTGAAGGACAGACTCCTTTGTACACATACAAATGATGCACAGATGGAGGTTTTTCTGGGATGCGCTGCAGTTTTCCTAAAATGATGTTTAGATTAAGTGCATTTTAAAGTACAGTATTTTGAAGTTATCGCGTGCAGTCTAATTATTAGGTTTAATGTAGCTCAGAGACCCGAGATAACATCTCTAATACCTTTGAATCCCTAACAAGCTTTTTTTCTTTTTTACCCACAACATCACCAGCATAATGTTATTCAACATTACAGTATGTGATATCACCCCGGCTACTTGCAGGATTCACTTATTTCAGTACCTGCAAAGATTATTTTTTATTTATGAAGCTTTTATAAAACTGTCAGATAAATGTAATGAGCTATGTGGGCAGCAGACACACACAATTTGAAATGTGATTATTTAATTTCATTAATGTGTTTTTCCACAGGCAGCTCAACATCCTGTTAGCCTTGTGTGTGTGTGGGTGGGGAAGAATTCACTGGAAACATTCACTGGTGATGAATGGCTCAATCCAGATTGTTTCATTTAGGTCACTACTGCAAATGAAAGCTCTGCAAAACCATTTAACCCTCTTTCCTCCTGCAATCAGCAAAAGGTGTAGCCAGAGGCATATATTGATTGCGGATGGAGGCTGTGGCTAAAATGGAAAGGGAACTCTTAGAATGAATTATATAAAATAATGCTTTGACTGGAAGGAAATGTGGAAGAAAAGAAATGTAGAACTGAAATGCCAAAGATCAGTTTGTTATTTCTCTCTGTGCTCTACTTACAAAATGAATCCCATCCTTACACTGAAATGGAAATAGATTAAAAAAATAAAAAATCCACTGTTAAGAAATTTCATCTGCAGTGACTATTTTCTCAAACAGTTATACAGATTTTTGCATGCACTTTTTACCTTCCATTCATTGTATTATGTAGCTTTTATTAGGACAAGCGTTCCGTGCCCATGTGTCAAATAAGGCAATGTAAGTCAGATACACAACATGCATTGACAGTAGACAGCATAATATTCTTTTTAACCGTGCCTTAGGGAGGGCCACATAACTCATGAGTGGTACGTTGATGTGATGATGTAGTTCAACTGACACAGTCATCTCTAATGAGTGAAAACAAAATGTGCCACCTCTAACTGACATAGAATATCACACTTACACCTGGCCAGATGGGGGTGTCTGTCAGACACTATTACACACAAGTAGGGATTAAGAGCTATTAATAAAGCTACTAATGGTACAGGCAGAATAACTGCAGAAAGAGTACAATTTCTGTAGGGTTTATATTTCTCAGAAGTATGGGGTAGATTATAGGGCTTGATCTGCAGGGTGGTAGGAGCTCTGCAAGGTGATGCAGATGTCAGCAAGTATTGAGGGCCCTACACATTTTGCAGGAGTGCCCAGAATCACAGAGAACACAGCATGTTGTAAGATTGAAACCATATAGCTTAGGGATGTTTCCCCTCATGAGAATCCATGGTAGAATGCACTAGGCAGATTGGCAAGTAGTTTAACAAAGCACTGGCTTCCATAGAAATTGTAATGTAATGTCTCACAGCCCTAGTCTACACTAGGACCTTATTTCAAAGAAACCCCTCCAAAGTCAAATATATAAGAGATGTATCCTCATTACCAAACCCATTATTTCAAAATAACAGGCCATGGAATTTGAACTCTGTGCTCCTGCTTTTCATCAGGAGTAATACTAATTCTGAAATCGTAATTTTGAAATGACGGTAGTGTGGATGCTCCAGTGCCACTAATTGAAACTTATTGGCCTCTGGGAGGCCTCCTGCAGCTCCTTAGAGTGCTTCTAAGTCTAGTGCTTGGGGCACTAAGTCCAAGGTAGTGAGAACATGCTACTTCGAATTTGTTAAATCGGGAGTTCTTCAGTCGAATTTAGTAATTTCAAAAGAGTTTCCTAGGGTAGAGATAGCCTCAATCCCTTGTTTTAGTGTCTTCCTAGATAAGACACTTACCTGTGCTGGCTTTGAAATGATGCTCTCAGAAGAAGAGTGTGCTAACATTTTGTAAGTCATGAGGTAGAGAGAAAGAAAACTGAGAAAATCTTATCTGCGGAATTCTGCAATACATTTTAATAGCCTGAGTTTATTTCAGTAAGAGTCGTGCGGCTCAAACATTTTGAGTGCCACTGAATTCCTAGTGAGTGAGCATCAGCCTCTAGAAAAGATTAGAGACCATTAAGAAGTTATGACTATTACGTACAGTGGTGACATGAATAAACTTCTCTATTGCCCTGTAATATATATCTCAATATATCAGTGCATGAATAAAAGATGGTGGCTCTCATTTAACTCTGTGCTTAGGTACATAACTATGAACAGGAAAAAGAAACATGTTTTATTGATTTATTGGTACAATACAATACAAATATTACAAGAACAAATCATATCACACCAGCTCGATAGCTTTCTTTGATAGGATAACAAGCTTTGTGGATAAGTGGGAAGCAGTAGATGTGGTATATCTATCTAGACTTTAACACAGCATTTGATACAATCTTGCATGGCTCTCTCACTAACAAACTAGGGAATACAACCTAGATCAGAGCTGGGCAAGATGTGGCCCGGGGGCCAGAACCAGCCTACCTAACACTTTGATCCAGTGGACTGGATCTGGCCATTTTCTATTTATATCCTACTGCCTGTGCCAGCAAATTTCCAGGCAGTGGCTCAGCCATCAGGATCCTATTTCAATGGCTCACGGCTCCCAGTTGTGGCACTACCTTGGCAGGAGCCGTAGCAGTGAGCCTTTAAAAAGCTGAAGTAATCCCAGGCAGCTGCCAAGCAATGGGGTAGTGGCAAGGCTGGGAGCCACAAGCCCTTTGCTGTATATTTAATTCAGAGCCTGCAGCCTCAAACTACTCTCATGAGAGGCTAGTCCCAGCCCCACCCCTTCCACCCTAGGCCCTCTTCCAGGGGGTAGAGCTGGCCCATGACCATATTGCAAACTTCATTAAGTGGCCTCCCTGCAAAAATTACTGCGCAACCCAACTTAGATGGAGCTACTTTAATGTGGATGCTTAACTGGTTGGATACCCATTCCCAGAGGGTAGTTATCAACGATTCACAGTCATGGTGGAAGGGTATAACAAGTGGGGTTCTGAAGGGATCAGTTCTGTTCAATATCTTCATCAATGATTTAGATAATGGCATAGAAAGTACACTTATAAAATTTCTGGAGGAGACCAAGCTGGCTGTAAGTGCTTAGAAGATAGAATTATAATTCAAAATGATCTGGACAAACTGGAGAAATGTTCTGAGGTAAACAGGATGAAGTTTAATAAGGACAAATGCAAAGTACTCCACTTAGGAAGAATCAATCCATTTCACACATACAGAATGGGAAGCGACTGTGTAGAAAGGAGTACGGCAGAAAGGGATCTGGAGGTCTTAATGGACCAAAAGCTAAATATGAGTCAACAGTGTGACACTGTTGCGAAAAAAGCAAACATGATTTTGCGATGCATTAACAGGAGAGTTGTGACCAAGAAACGAGAAGTCATTCTTCCTATCTACTCTGCACTGATTAGGCCACAACTGGAGTATTGTATTCAGTTCTGGGTGCCACATTTCAGGAAAGATGTGGAGAAACTGGAGAAGATGATTAAAGGACTAGAAAACATGACCTATGAGCAACATTCCCCCCTAATTTTTTCCATCCATGCGCAAAATAAATTGTGTTATGTGTGGCAAAGTGTGTGCAGATATGTACTACAAACACACACATGGTGCCAGCTAAGGGTGCTCTGCTAATTACCTGGGTGGCATTTGAATCTCTCCTGAGTGTCTGCCCAAGCACTCAGCTTACAGGGAACACTGCCTATGAGGGAAGACTAGAAGAACTGGGTTTGTTTAGTCATAAGAACGGCCAAACTGGGTCAGACCAAAGGTCCGTCTAGCCCAGTATCCTGTCTGCTGATTGTGGCCAATGCCAGGTGCCCCAGAGGGAGTGACCAGAACAGGGAATCATCAAATGATCCCTCCCCTGTCACCTATACCCAGCCTCTGACAAACAGAGCCTAGGGAAAAAGAGAAGACAGAGGGGACATAATAACTCTCAAATACCTACAAGGTTGTTACATGGAGTAAGGGGGGAAATCATTCTCCTCAAGTTCTGATGAGGGGGGAAAAAAGCAATAGACTTATACTGTAGCAAAGGGGATTGAGGCCGGACATTAGCAGGGGTGATGCATACAAGGGCGCAAGGCAGCATGTGCCACCCCACCACCACCATGGGCAGGAGCAGCAAAGGGCCAGCAGCCAGTGGGAGGGTTAGCGGGGAGGCCTGGTGTCCCTAGCAGGGGTCCAAACCCCCCACACTCACTGGCAATGGCCCCAGCTCACTCTGCTCTCCCAGGCATGTCACCTGGGGGAAGGGTGGGATTGTTTCAAAAGAGTTTCCTAGGGTAGAGATAGCCTCAATCCCTTGTTTTAGTGTCTTCCTAGATAAGACACTTACCTGTGCTGGCTTTGAAATGATGCTCTCAGAAGAAGAGTGTGCTAACATTTTGTAAGTCATGAGGTAGAGAGAAAGAAAACTGAGAAAATCTTATCTGCGGAATTCTGCAATACATTTTAATAGCCTGAGTTTATTTCAGTAAGAGTCGTGCGGCTCAAACATTTTGAGTGCCACTGAATTCCTAGTGAGTGAGCATCAGCCTCTAGAAAAGATTAGAGACCATTAAGAAGTTATGACTATTACGTACAGTGGTGACATGAATAAACTTCTCTATTGCCCTGTAATATATATCTCAATATATCAGTGCATGAATAAAAGATGGTGGCTCTCATTTAACTCTGTGCTTAGGTACATAACTATGAACAGGAAAAAGAAACATGTTTTATTGATTTATTGGTACAATACAATACAAATATTACAAGAACAAATCATATCACACCAGCTCGATAGCTTTCTTTGATAGGATAACAAGCTTTGTGGATAAGTGGGAAGCAGTAGATGTGGTATATCTATCTAGACTTTAACACAGCATTTGATACAATCTTGCATGGCTCTCTCACTAACAAACTAGGGAATACAACCTAGATCAGAGCTGGGCAAGATGTGGCCCGGGGGCCAGAACCAGCCTACCTAACACTTTGATCCAGTGGACTGGATCTGGCCATTTTCTATTTATATCCTACTGCCTGTGCCAGCAAATTTCCAGGCAGTGGCTCAGCCATCAGGATCCTATTTCAATGGCTCACGGCTCCCAGTTGTGGCACTACCTTGGCAGGAGCCGTAGCAGTGAGCCTTTAAAAAGCTGAAGTAATCCCAGGCAGCTGCCAAGCAATGGGGTAGTGGCAAGGCTGGGAGCCACAAGCCCTTTGCTGTATATTTAATTCAGAGCCTGCAGCCTCAAACTACTCTCATGAGAGGCTAGTCCCAGCCCCACCCCTTCCACCCTAGGCCCTCTTCCAGGGGGTAGAGCTGGCCCATGACCATATTGCAAACTTCATTAAGTGGCCTCCCTGCAAAAATTACTGCGCAACCCAACTTAGATGGAGCTACTTTAATGTGGATGCTTAACTGGTTGGATACCCATTCCCAGAGGGTAGTTATCAACGATTCACAGTCATGGTGGAAGGGTATAACAAGTGGGGTTCTGAAGGGATCAGTTCTGTTCAATATCTTCATCAATGATTTAGATAATGGCATAGAAAGTACACTTATAAAATTTCTGGAGGAGACCAAGCTGGCTGTAAGTGCTTAGAAGATAGAATTATAATTCAAAATGATCTGGACAAACTGGAGAAATGTTCTGAGGTAAACAGGATGAAGTTTAATAAGGACAAATGCAAAGTACTCCACTTAGGAAGAATCAATCCATTTCACACATACAGAATGGGAAGCGACTGTGTAGAAAGGAGTACGGCAGAAAGGGATCTGGAGGTCTTAATGGACCAAAAGCTAAATATGAGTCAACAGTGTGACACTGTTGCGAAAAAAGCAAACATGATTTTGCGATGCATTAACAGGAGAGTTGTGACCAAGAAACGAGAAGTCATTCTTCCTATCTACTCTGCACTGATTAGGCCACAACTGGAGTATTGTATTCAGTTCTGGGTGCCACATTTCAGGAAAGATGTGGAGAAACTGGAGAAGATGATTAAAGGACTAGAAAACATGACCTATGAGCAACATTCCCCCCTAATTTTTTCCATCCATGCGCAAAATAAATTGTGTTATGTGTGGCAAAGTGTGTGCAGATATGTACTACAAACACACACATGGTGCCAGCTAAGGGTGCTCTGCTAATTACCTGGGTGGCATTTGAATCTCTCCTGAGTGTCTGCCCAAGCACTCAGCTTACAGGGAACACTGCCTATGAGGGAAGACTAGAAGAACTGGGTTTGTTTAGTCATAAGAACGGCCAAACTGGGTCAGACCAAAGGTCCGTCTAGCCCAGTATCCTGTCTGCTGATTGTGGCCAATGCCAGGTGCCCCAGAGGGAGTGACCAGAACAGGGAATCATCAAATGATCCCTCCCCTGTCACCTATACCCAGCCTCTGACAAACAGAGCCTAGGGAAAAAGAGAAGACAGAGGGGACATAATAACTCTCAAATACCTACAAGGTTGTTACATGGAGTAAGGGGGGAAATCATTCTCCTCAAGTTCTGATGAGGGGGGAAAAAAGCAATAGACTTATACTGTAGCAAAGGGGATTGAGGCCGGACATTAGCAGGGGTGATGCATACAAGGGCGCAAGGCAGCATGTGCCACCCCACCACCACCATGGGCAGGAGCAGCAAAGGGCCAGCAGCCAGTGGGAGGGTTAGCGGGGAGGCCTGGTGTCCCTAGCAGGGGTCCAAACCCCCCACACTCACTGGCAATGGCCCCAGCTCACTCTGCTCTCCCAGGCATGTCACCTGGGGGAAGGGTGGGATTGCCGCCACACTCCTGGCAGGAAGCAGAGCGAGCCAGGGCTGCATTGCTCCATTTCCCATGCTGTTGCCACTGAGTGGGGGGGGGGGGGGGAAGAGGTAGTGTGGAGCCTGAGACAGAGGGGGGTTGCCCCAGCCCTTCCTTAGGCTGTGTGGGGAGGGAGTTGTCACATGGCTGGTGGCCTCCTGGGTCCTCCTCACCAGTTGCTCCTGGACATTAGGAAAAACTTCCTGTCAGGGTAGTTAAACACTGGAGTAAGTTTCTAGGGAGGCTGTGGAATCTCCATCACTGGAGATTTAAGAGCAGGGATAGTCTAGATCAGTGTTTCTCAATGTGGGCTACGGGCCCGCACCGCTTTGTTTATCTCAAGGCTCCATAGCCATGGAGCCTCACAGCTCCCCCTGGAGGGCATGGGGACTGGACGACCTCTTGGGGTTCCTTCCAGTTCTATGATTAGTTTGTATGGTACTTCTCTGTCAAATCACCTGAAGGACAAAATGTTTTCCTAAGGATATTTTTCACTTTAAAAAGTATTTTCATTTGTTTCTTTCATTAGAATTTCCAATGTAGAAAGGTTCTTTCTTCTAAGGAAACATCAGTTTGCAACTTAAAAGGCTTAAAATGAGGTGTCACATATACACTGTACAATTTTATAAGTTCCTCCATATGCTTAATGGATGCACAACGTTCTTTCTTCCCTGTCATCAAAACAACAGAGGCAAGGCAATTTCAGTGGAGCAGAAGCTACTAATAATGAGGCCACATGATCCGAATTGCCACATTCCAAGCACTCTAGTTTTTAATGCACAATATAGCAGCCCACACTATTTAATGAACATTAATATGCTTGTGGGTGCAGCTTCAGTGTAATGTATTTGCCAATCATAATATCAAATGATAAAACATCTACCTTCAGAGGAAGAGAAAAGAAATGTTACTAAACAATAATGGAACAATCGGAGCTACAAGAAAAGCACATGAGTTTTCACAAATTAAAAACTAAACCACATCTGTTATACCTCTAGAGACTGGGTTTTAAATCCAAGCAATGCAAACTGCAATGTAGTCTAAAGTGAATTAAGTATATTCTAAAAGAAAGCAATTCTGGTTCAAAGCCAAACACTTTTTGATCAATTTAAAAAAAATATGTTATTTATCGTTCTTGTTTTTTTTTTATGGTATCACAAAATATGCCACGCAACTAGCATCCCAGTAAGCCTAGTTATAGTGGGCACTTCATTTATAAATAGTTCTCGTACACTGTTCTACTAAACCAGGCGTAGGCAATAATTTTTGATGGGGGTCCACTCCATGACTTCAGTAAGATGTCAAGAGCTGCACTCTTCCATGATATTGGAGTAGGAGGTGCAGGGTCTGAGATGGAAGTTGGGTGCAGAAGGGAGCTTGGGGTAAGGAACTGCAATGCAAGAGGGTGTGTGGGGTCTGGGAAGGAGTGGATTGTGATCTGAGGCAGGGAACTGGGGTGCAGGGTCTGGGATGCAGGAGAGGATTCTGACCTGGAGGAGAATTAGGAGGGGGCGGGGTATGGGAGGAGGTTGTGATCTGGGACAGGAGTGCAGGAGGGGCGCAGGAGTTTGGGTTGTGACCAGGGGCAGAGGATTGGGGTACAAGGTCTGGGAGGAGGTTGTGACCTGGAAAAGGGATGTAGGGGGGGCTGTGATCTAGAGCAGTGGTTCAGGGATTTGGGTTGTGACTAGGGGCAGGTGACTGGGGTGCAGGTCTGGGCAGGACTATGGGTGCAGAAGTGGGGGTGCAGAGGGCTTGGGTAACATAGGGTAGGGACGTAGGGAGGGGCTGAGGTTTAGGGGCAGAGAGGGGTTGGAGTGCCAGAGGCAGGCTCTAGCCAGGAGGCGCTTACCTAAGTGGCTCCTGGCCAATATCCCAGCAGGTTCCCTGCCTGCTCCCCCCCCCGCACACCACTCAGAAGAGCCACCGGCGGAGATCATGTGCTGCTCCGAATGCTGCAAGCCCAGGGGAAGGGTACTTCATGTGCCGCCTGGCAGCTTTGACCAAAGAGAGCAGCAAGATTGTGCTGGGCAGGGACAGCTCACAAAGCCTCTCATCCCCCTCCCACAGACCCACAGCGTGCTCAGCCCACTGCTCAGAGCAGTATGTGGGGGCGGGGCAGGCCAGGAAACTGACAGACTCCTGCTGGGCCAAGGGCCAGATCTAGCAACTTGGTGGTCCGGATCTGGCCCGTATACTAAACCCTCAATAAGCATTTTACATGTTTCAAAGTGTGAAATGAATAAAATTGTTTTAGAACCTCCTGATAATTCACCTGAGAGTTGTGAATTTCTGTTCAGGTGGATACACAGTTGTCTCTAGGTTAGAAAGCACACTCGAGCTTTTTTCTGGATCATACTTAGCGGAGACTGAAGTCTTCTTCAGTGCATGACCACTACATTTTGCTAATCCAAAAGGAAATAAAAGTGCACACCTCCAAAAAAGAGAGTTACATGCAATGTGTTATATGGCACTATATGACCTAGTAATATCCAAAATCTGAGTATGTGCATACGGTGCTTAGTTACAACCATAAGGCACCTTAGTAATACAAGACATTTGACAATTTACTGCAATATGAATGCTTCCCAAGACTAAGATGGGGAGAGGGTAAGCAGCCCATTCTTTTCTCTGGGGATATAGCGAACAAAAATCTAAACTCTCTAATTGCTGACATGGAAATTAATAAAATGAAGAAAACTGTGCTCAAATCTCCTCTTATCTGGTTCCACATTCTAGCAAAAAGTCAGTGCTTCCAGGCAAGGATCAGAATTCCAAATCAGAACTTTGCTCCCAGCTGAGGGAATTCTGTCTCTCTTCTGCTTAGGTTCTTATTCTGAGGAATGACCACTCAGGTCAATCTAGAAGTTAACCTTGGATGGAGCTGTGTCCAACTCTTGGACAGAAGATGGCATGACACAAAGGGCCTTGAAATGATAGGGAATAAAGCAATTAACATAATTCTAAATTTTGAACTCCTGAACACCTGCAAGGCCCACTTAAGTTAATGGATATCACAGATGCTCAGTACTTCCCAGGATCAGGTCCTAGAACTGAAGAGAAACTTGTAGCTGAAGGAGATTTAAAGAACTCTTTCACTGTAGGAAAACAACTGATTGCATATCAGTTTTCAAACTCATCTTACAGCCTACATTTACAGATGGCAAGAAGAGGCTGCCACACTTCGCAAAAGTAAGATCTGTTCCTATAAAGTTCCTCCTCCTGCTAAAAGCTGAAGGTGCATTTATTGTACACATTTTTTTAAAAAAATTAGTGGTTCACAAAAGGAAGTGATCCATGTACAGCTCTGATAGAAAAATACAATTACTCATGTAGAAAAATACGAAATAAAACAATCCATTCACATTATCTACAGTTGCTCCTATATGCATAATGTTTCATACCTAAAACATTTATGATTAGAAATTGTATGACAGATTTCCAAAACTAGCTGTTTGCAAATGTTTATGCACATCTATTGTATACGCATCATTTCCAGGTAACAGTGCATGTACAAATCAGATATTTGTGCATTAACATAGCCAATAAGATGATTGACTAGCTATGTGCATATATACGTCTGTAGTATTGGTACATATCACATAGACATGTCACAAACATTTGCACATTCCTCATTATAAAAATCTGGCCTTTCAGCTCTTTGGCTGAGTATAAGCAAATCCATTAGATCAGTGCCATGTTAGTGTGAAACAGAATGGAACGTTTTGAGATAAGTCCATAGTAAATGTGGAACAATTTCTTCACATCTCCTAGCCCCTAGAAGGCTGACCTGTTCCACACGGCAATCCAAGTTAGTGTTGTATATTTATATTCGCGAACTCCAATGAATTAAACCTCATCTTTTTCTTATATCAGAAATTTACTCTTAAATGGCAGGAAGGGTGCGTCTCTGTTGAGGTGTTAACTCAGGGTGCCACACGTCCACAATGAATATCAGCCGATAACGGTCAGCATCCTGCCACACTTCATGCTCAAAAGAATCATCAAAGATAAGAACCTTCCCTTCTTCCCAGGTTCTGTAATAGAGAAGAACATCCTTTATTATTGTTTTTTGGGTACCCAATAGTGAGCACTTATCTGGGCAGGTATTTGCTTTGGAGATACGGAAAAGGTATAATCAGCATGGTTTTACTTTAAGGAATGTAGTATTTAATAAAGAGATATGAGATGCCTGTATCGTAGCTCTGAATGAAATAACTATAAAAGTTCAATTTGATGCAGCTCCAAAAACTGAGCTGTACTTTTATATTCTCTCTGGGTACGTCTCCACAGCAAAAATATTTTGAAATAACTAGCATTATTTCAAAATGACTAGGTCCACATCTACACAGCAGGCAGTTATTTCGAAATAATGTTGAAATACTGACAGGCTGGAGGACTTTTTACTCTGACTCCTGTAACCCTCACTGTACGAGGAGTAAGGGAAGTAGGAGGAAGAGTGCTCTTAATTCATAATAAGTGCCGAGTAGACGCTCCCAATTTCAAAATAAGCTATGCAGTTGACGTAGCCAATTTGCGTAGCTTATTTTGAGTTAAGCCCTGCTGCGTAGACACACCCTCTTTGTATGCATATAGGCATATGCAAGAATGAGAGTCTAGGAAGCACTGAGCATTTACCGTTCTCAATTATGTAGCCTCTTTATATCAAGCCCCCTACTTGCATTTCAGACATGTACACATTAGAGAATAATGGAAAGATGTGCAATAGCCAGTAGCATGGTTTAAAAATAAACAAATCATGTCAAACAAACTGGATTAAAAAAACAGAATTGCCCTGATTCATACTTAACTTCAAGAATGTGAATAAACTCATTGCATAAACCTCTGCAGTAGGGATTGTCTACAGGGGAGAAAAAGCTGCACTAGTTCAGTTTATTTTGGCATAATTATGCTGATATAACTAAATCAACAGGGCAGATCAATGCTGCTCTATCCAAGCCCCTTTAAGCTACAGAAGAACCTCTGCTTTGCGAAATGGGGATTGAGGAGTTCATAAAAATACAAAACATTTCAAAATTATACTCTGTATGATGCATAAATTGCAGCATTGTGCACTGCATCGCTTTCTTCTTGTCCTTCCAACCACTACCATTGTTTTCCAATGCTCTGAAAGCACTGCAATGTGATGGGATGCCACCTTGCTTTTCATTGACATCGCGTCCATTATGTGATGCCTGCCTCCCCGCAAATGGGAACAATAGTTTATACAACTGGTCATTTTTAAGACTGGCATTTCTAAAGCCATGGTTCTACTGTGCTTTACTAAGCACTGCTTCCATGGAGTGACACACCATACGGACACAAAAAGAGAGCACTCTTAGGGTGCATCTACACTGCACCATTATTCCAGAAAAACGGCCGTTATTCCAGAAAAACAATACTAGCGTCCACACAGCAACTGTGTTATTTTGAAAGAAAATCGAAATAATGGAGGGCTTTTTCTGACATTGATAAACATCATTCCATGAGGAATAATGCTTCTTCCAAAAAAGCTGTTTCGGAAGAGGGTGTGTGGACACTTCACTGCTGCTATGTCAAAATAACTCCCTCCCCCCCCGGCCATTCTAAGTTATTCCTCCCCAGTGCCCCCTGGGGCTCTAAATCCACATTAGGGGAGCCTGGCACCAATTCATTAGGAGGCTTCCCTATTGTGTGAACGCTCTATTTCAAAATAAGCTATTTTGGAAGATAACTTCCCGGAATAGCTTTTTCCGAAATAAGCTTGCAGTGTAGACATACCTTTAGTGGGTATTCCAGGGTATAAAGCACAGCCAAGCAGGAAAAGTAAACTTATTGAAGTGCAATTTTCCTGTGTAGACATGGGCTTAGGGAGGGAACACTACATTTTTTAAATTTTAGTGCAAAAAATTGATAGTATCTCTCAAAACATAATACAGACAATTCACTCAAACTGGCTTGTGTATGAGCAGTCACATTCTTTAACAAGTTGAAGACCAAAACTTAAAGGAGAATGGTGAGAAGCAATGTATGAGAAACAGGGGTATCTAATTAGTTGGGAGGATCACAGTTAAGTGCAGTTTTAACATCTTCATTGATGACCTTGAAAAGGAATTTAATGGCATGTTAAGTAAGGGCTCTGTGCTGCAAAGTCAATAGGATTCCCGATTCAATATAAAGAAAAATGAGAAGTCTAGAATGAAATTTATCTACTTGGCATTCGGAATTAACAATGCCAAAACAAAAATAAATATTTGTATTGATTTTTTTCTATTTTCATTAATTCTAAAACAATTATACTGTACAGGGAAACTGCTTAGAAGCTGACACTTTAAAGTTGTAACTAGTTTGCGTTGTACACAGTGTTTTTGGTCAGTGCTCTAAACAGTTGCATTTCAAGCTGCAACTGTCTTCCTTCCATAGGAACTGAATTTTTGGGAAGCTATGAAAATATTTATCCCTTGATACGGAATGAAGTTTGTTTTTGAGTTATAACCCTTTTGCACTGGTCCATCTGTTGGTGTAAACATTTAGAACATTGCTTTTTGTACTTTTGCTTTTGCAAATTGAGCAATAAGTTGTTTGAAAGATTTGAAGCTATTTTGTGTTATTTTGAGATGGCTAGGCCAGCAAGTCTCTCTTTCAGATGGAAGAATGAAGGTACATCTTGATCAACTTTAACTTTGAAAAGCTACAGACCCAACTAGGAACAGAAAGTGGAAGAGTCAAGAGAATTCAAAGAGTCATTAAGATGTTGGGAAAGCTGTCTGAGTTTGCATTCAGAAATAAACTTCAGTACATCTTGGAAGTTGTCATGAAATATCCTTCAGTTCACTTCACAAATCTACTGCATTAATATCTTTTGAATTTCCATGTTGAAATGCCGACTCTAGCTTAATCTTACAAGTACTTGTGATTCTCCTTTTATGATCTTATTCAAACCTCTTACCAAAATTTTCAAATCCAACACAATGCAAATTCTTTGCTGGCACAGCATCTTTGGGATCACAGCCTATAACACAGCAGAACAGCTGCTGTGGGTTTCTGTCCAGCCTTCACTAAGCAGCAAGCCTCACAAACCCAACTGTATGACTGGCCAACCCTGGATTACTGAGAATGACTGACTTGCCAGACCCTGACCCCGGCAGCACTCTTTGAAGCTATGACTTGACACATTTTTACTGTATTTACACACACAGCCGTGCTCCCCAATGTGAAATAAATAATATAACTCAATGACATGGCAATGATGCACTGTTTTATACGTATAATATTCGATACTTTCATATATAAAGAGATAACATATTATATACTTTTAAATAGAAAAAAATCACTTTCATCTAATTTGGCACCTTTTAAAGCCTGGTGTCTTAGGCAACCACCTCATTCGCCTGCATGAGTGCATGTTAATTTGCAAGATTAGGGCCTTAATTCCAAGATGTTGAAGGAAATGTTGCATACACTACTGAGAACAGAGTAATAATACAAAGGGAGGTGAAGAAGTTAAAATATGGACAGGAAATAAAATGAGGTTCAGCTTTAAAAAGTGCAACCTAACATACCTGGGTAACAATACATGAAGGCAATAACAATGGGAAGGAAAAAGCTGAACCTTTTGAAGGAGACTTATGATGAGAGCACATAGCAAATTTGGTATCACTCTGCAATGGTGTGCAGGATTTAAGAAAACTAATATCAGAGGGGTAGCCGTGTCAGTCTGAATCTGCATAAACAACGAGAAGTCCTGTGGCACCTTATAGCTAACAGATTTATTGGAGCACAAGTTTTTGTGGGCAAAGACCCACTTCGTCAGATGCATGCATGCCCACAAAAGCTTGTGCTCCAATAAATCTGTTAGCTATAAGGTGCCACAGGACTTCTCGTTGTTTAAGAAGGCTAATGTGACTTTCAGCTACAGATGAAAAGGCATCACTTCATGGAAACAGGAGGTGATAGTCTCTTCTCCCTGCATTCTGATGACACTGTACTGTGGATACTGCACACAGTTGTGGGCACCTCATAACCACAAAGGTTTGGAAAACTAGACACAATTCAGAGTACAGTAACAAAACTGATTAAGCCATAGGGATTGACAGAGTAGGAGAGATGAAATGACTTTTGGCCAAAAGTTTTTAAAGTAACCAGTGATTTTGAATGCTTTGTTTTCACTTGAGTCTCTTTAAAAAGGCCTAATTTTCAGAGGATACTCAGCATTTCCTAAACATCAGGCCCAAGGTGTTTCAAGGTGAGCACTCAAAACCACTAGTCGCTTTTGAAAATTTTGACCTACCATTATTGGTTAATCCTTTAACCATATTAAAGGCATGAAAACCAAATATATTGGAAAGTTAGTTGGGATACAAGAAGAATATTTATAAGGGATGGGAAAGGATTAAAGATATTCAATTGTGTCTACAAAGGTTAAATTGGGTTTTCAACTGAGTTATGTTAGCTTCATTGAGCTAATTCAATTAGAAAAACAAACCATCCTTTTTTCCGAGGGTAGACAAGGCCTAAGTCATTTTTGAAAATGGAATTTGGGTTTCTAAATCCTTTGAAACTTTTGAAATTTTTACCCACCATCAGGAAACAAACCACTATTAAGAACTACTAGCCTATGCAATAGTCTCCTAAGAAAAATGGCAGAAACATGATTGAGACACAAATTTGAAACAAACATGGAGAAATCAGCAGGTACAGTGAAGTAACAAAAATCACAAATTGGCTGTCAAATGGATGTCAGCATCCAAGGCCCAGATTAATTGATCTATTTGACAGTGAATCTTTTCAGATTTCTAGTATGACTGCCTCTTAACTTCACTGCCACCTTGGTAATAGATAAATGCAGATTCAGAAAGGTATTGTATGTGCACGCTCCTTTTAAATAAGGCTCAGTTATTCCAAATTTATACCTGTTTTAAGCAATATACTCCTTGATTCTTATGCCAGGTATTACATTAATATTGCTCTAATTAAGTCAAAGTTGTTACATGCCGATATAAGAGAGTAAAAAAATCAGGCCTATGATGTTTTTTTTAAATTTCATCTGAAAAGCACTTCCTTCACTAGTTAGTCTGAAAGAGGAGCTGTACTCTGGAGAACAAACCTTCAAATGGAGTGCCACCAGAGGTTAAAAGAAGGCTCAATCATTTGCATCATAGTGGGTTAGACTGATTTATACAACACACAGAAAAAAAGTCATAAAGTTGTCAGAGCCATTATCTTTCATTTGGATCTACTACAAGACTTGCCATTGAAATGCAAATAAATATCTTCCGGATGCCTTATTCTGTGAGAAAATCATCACATTATGACCAAAAGGTAATATGGAATGGAGCTAGTCTGGGAAGGATTTCTGTATCATTTGCTCAGAAGAGAGCTTTTACTACCTGTTATAGATGAGAAGTTTTTACCTTGACTTTATGAAAGGGACATATTTCCCTCTCATTACAAATCACAACTGCAATCGTTGACAATGTCATTATATTTTAACACTGAATTTTTTTTTTTACCACCATGATTAAGCATCTTGCATGCTGCAGCTTTTAATACACGAAAAATGACCTGGGATTGTTCCTGCCACCCTAAGAGCTGATCACAATGTGACAGCGTAAACAAAGACTCATCATCAGCAAACACTCTGAAGTGGGTGAAGAGTAAAATGTAAGGCTAGACTGTGAGCCTATGCATGTCTTCTGAAAGGACATCGTATGAAGAAAACCTGCCTCACAGATGCAGAGACTCAAAGGTCAGAAGGGACCACCAAGATTAAGGCTCCGTTTTAGTCATGGGTATTTTCAGCAAAATTCATTGACAGGTCACAGGCACTAAACAAAATTCACAGCCCATGACTTGTACTATATACCCCTGATTAAATCTAGGAGGCACGCAGGGCTGTTCAGCTGACACCGTGAGTACTCAGGGAGGGGAAGGGCGGCCCGGGAGAAAATTCCTTCCTGACCCCCATTTGTCCTTGCATCTATACTGGGACTTAATTTAAATAACTTCTCTCCCCTCCCTGATACTTATCCCTCTGATGTTTCTATACAGTGCAATCGTATCTCCCCTCTAACTTCTTTTGGTTAGGCTAAACAAGCCAAGCTGCTAAGTCTCCTCTCACAGGATAGGTTTCCATTCCTCTGATCACCCTAGAGTCCCTTCTCTGCACCTGTTCCAGCTTGAATTCATCTTTCTGAAACACAGGTAATCAGAGTTGCACATAATATTCCAGATGAGGTTTCACCAGCATCTTGTCTAATGGTACTAAAATGTCCCTGTCTCTACTGGAAATACCTGACCTAGAATTGCATTAGTCTTTTACATGGCCTTGTCACACTAGTGGTTTTCGCCTTCTTTGTCACTTCCTCACCACCCATTCACCCTGCCTTGCCTCTGGGTACCTAGAAGCAAATAAGCAACACACTACACAAGTGGAAGGGGGCAGGCAGGGAGTCAGACTATGCATATTAGTTGAAGATGACGACTAAACCAGCAAGGAAGAAGCAGAGAGGGAATTGTACCTGTCAGAGACAATTCCTTCACCTCACTATTCTCATCATGCCTCCTTAGATGCCAACCATGTGCATAACCCTTAATTTTTATTATGACAAATAATATCATTTTGGAGGGGGGAATTGTTTTTTTGGT